CGCCTGAGCTCAGACCTTCTGAATGCAACTACGACTCCCGTGTGTGCCTCGCGCTGATGATTTCAGACGCCACACCACCACAAACAGCTCACCAATCTCAGACTCATCGAGAATGTATGCGGCGAATCAAGGGCAAAGCGAAGCTGCGCTTGCCTAGAAGAGCGAGGTGAGATTGAACAGACGACTCTGCTCAGACTCAGAATCCTTCGAGAAAGCTAGCACTGCGTCTTCCAGCCCTGCCTACCACCTCCAAGTATGGCCGAACGACCTGCACCCATCGGCCCGGGGCCGACGACAAGGGACTTGGAGGCTGCGAAGGCATTCGGCCTTTCCGTCAACGGGCTGACACCAGTCGACATCGGCAAAGTTGCACTTCCAGGCGATCTCTACCTTACGCATGGTCATGTTGGGCCCACCTTACCAGCAATGCCAGATGACATCCTATTTCAGGTGCGTCGGCTCGTCCCTCACGATCGCAGTTTCTGCCTTCGACTCACATCTGTTGCCTCTTCGCCTAGATCTGGTGCGAGGTGGAAGACCCACGTCCCTTGGTCAAGACTTGCCAAAGACTGCATAGTCTTAGCCGTCTGGTGGATCTGCGAGCACAATGGCTGCTCAGTCGCTACGAAGCATACGAAGTAATTTACGAAGCAATCTGCCGACCAAGCCTCTTCGATGCCTGGCTCTTGCGAACGCTCCTCAATAGAGGTGCAAAGCTGTCGCGCGCTCTCGTTCAGGAGGTGGCATACCGTTCGGTGTGTCATATCGAGCACGATTGGAAAAATGAATACTGCGGCATGAACCTGCGTTGGGGAACCAAATTGTCCGCTCCGGCAGTATATGCGGTCTTGAACGAAGGTTACAGACTATATGGTAGCAACGTCAACCTAAAGACACGCGATAACGACATCTTCTGTGGTGAGCCTAAAGAAGCCTCTGACAAGCTCCATCGCGTATCGCTGAATAGCGTCTTGGTCTTTGGCAAATAGGCGCTCTCTTCGCCCAGTCCGCCGTGTTATTGGCCGATCTCAAAAGCCTCTTCGAAGACTACGATGTGGGTCACACTT